GTACGCATACCACCAGTCTAGAGCCAGCCTTCGGTGGAGAGCCTGCACTGGGTTGGCTGGAGACGGCCGCTGTCCCTGCACCAAAGCGCTTGGACAGCAGAGGAGAAGTCTTAGTCACTTACCCTCAGAGGCTACCCTTTGATTGAAAGAGTACAGAAAAGAAAAGTCAAAATGGGTTCTCTGCAAAGCAGTCACAGCACCAGACAATTCAGTCAGCAATATGACCCTATAGACTTAACTCTGTGGGGGAAAAGGGCCAGAACACCCCAAAAATCAAACTGATACTTCAGGCTTCATTTCTAGCCTATACCTATTAGAACCAGCCCAAAATTCTTACAAAACTTCATCCCCACTTTCTCCCACAGGATGCAGCTCCCAGGAAATTTCCTGTGCCCAGTCAATGGCTCCCAGGGGAAGCCCACTGACTGCTCTCTTCAAGGCAGGGAACTTAGGGAATCCAGGGGCAGGGATGGGCCACCTACCGTTACACCAGTGCCTGTCATTTTGGGAGGCTGCCAGGCATTTACACGGCAGATCACTGGGCATGGGGACAACTCCAGCCCACAACCAAGTCATGGGACCGACTACCCACTGCCCAAGTGTCTCAAGTAAACATTCCTGCACTCCCCTTGCTGGTCTCGTGAGACAAGGAAGGTCAACTCACCATGCGGTCTGGACCAGGTGTTGGTTACGCTCACACTCTAACACCTGAAGGTACATAACGATTATCTGGAAGATATGGGTCAGGCAGTTATTACCAAGAACCTCACGAGAAGGGAACTCAGATCTTGTGGATATCCATGCAGCAAAAGAACCTCAATCTAGATCCCAGGGATGGCTCCTGGTCACGTCCGGCAAACGGCTCAGCTGGAGGGGAGCTCCTGCAGGTGCACCTGCTTCTGCAGCAGGGCAGCATGTATGCACCTCAGGACCAGCCACACCCTGTGGCACAGAAGGCTGTGCCTCTCTCGTGGCCCACGTTCATTCTCATCGCCACAACTTTTCCGCCAACAAGACTGGCCTGCCCTAAGCATCAGTGTGCCCCAGCAGCGAACATACAGAGCAGGGCACAAAATACTTCCAGCAAGTAAAGAAAAGCATTTAAGTCCTTGGTAGATAATTTACCAAGAATCTGAATAAATGTCAGAAAATCAAACACTCAAGAGAGAAACTATGATGAAACTCACCAATGAAAATTGGTAAGAATGAAAGGATAAACGGTAATCTTCTTTGTTTGCTTTGAGGGGAGGGGTACCAGGGATTGAACCTAGGGGCACTCAGCTACTGAGCCACATCCCTAGTCCTATTTCATATTTTATTTAGAGACAGGGTCTCACTGAGTTGCTTAGTGCCTCACCATTGCCAAGGCTGGCTTTGATCTCACAATTCTCCTGTCTCAACCCCCTGAGCCGCTGGGATTACAGGCATGCATCACCACACCCAGCCCTTTTTTATTTTTATCTTGAGACAGGGTCGCACTAAGTTGCTTAGGGCCTCACTATGTAACTGAGGCTGTCACCCTCCTGCCTCAGCCTCCCAAGCTGCTGGGAACACAGGCATGGGCCACCACACCCGGCAATGGCAATCTTTTTAAACAATTTTTTGTTGTTGTTGTTTAGTACATGAAATGCCTACAGTGCTTTGATTCAACTTAAAATACAACAGCATGCTCCTAACCAACCAATGCAGGTTGCAAAACTTGAAGTTCATCTTAAAGCAAAAGGGTTCAGAATTCTTCCCATTCTCCCATAAAAGAAAGTGAGGCTATTACTAAGGTGACTTTAGAAACCTAACTGCTCAGGAAAGAAAAATGGATGCTGACAAATTTAATTTCTACAAGTTCACCCCTGTTTTTCTGAAAACCGAAACCTAAAAAATGCAATTTCCAAAACTCTTTTAAAATGCAACTAGAATTAATAGCATAAGAAGGCTAATCATTTGCAAGGTTACAGCTATGACCTGGAAAACTGAGTCAGGGACATAGGTCATCTCCAGGGCTTTCAGCCTCAGGGACATGGGGGGTGAAAACCACCTTATACCCACCTTATGAGGGTGCTTCACGTGGACACAGAAGCCCAGCTCCTTGAGGACTCGTCTTTCTGCCTTTATGATCTGGTTCTTCAAGTTRACATAATCTTGATCCAAGAGAAGAGGCACAGGCTTCCTGCAAGGACAGAGAACATGGCCACATAAAGATTAGACAAAATAAGATGTTCTGGGGTTGCACATGTGGCTCAGTGGTAGAACACTTGTCTAGCACAAGTGAGGCCACAGGTTGATCCCAGCACTGCAAAAACAAAAAACCTCAGAAAAACAAAAAAGCAACACCTTTCAGGGTACACTATCACCCCCAAGAGGGAGGAATCTAATATAAACATCACCACACAAGACACTAGATGAAGACTCACTTCCTTTAACAAAATTATAGAACAGGCTTCCAACTCCAGAGCCAACCTACTTAACCCTTCTCTACAACCTGCCCCATCCTGGTTGATAAAAGGCATTCTGGTGCATAGACAAACACTGCCTGAATGCAACGAGGTCTAAAGATCTCATTGCACAGAGACTAAAAGTTAAGAGCTCAGTGGTACATGCCTGCAATACCAGCAAACTGAAAGCTGAGGAAGGAAAATCACGAGTTCAAGGTCTCACTTAGTGAGACCCTGTGTCAAAACAAAACAAAAAAGGACTGGGGAAGGCTGGAGTTGTAGCTCAGTGGTAGAGTGCTTGCCTAGCATGTGTGAGGTGCTGGGTTCGATTCTAACACCACATATAAATAAAATAAAGGCACACTGACAACTAAAAAAATATTGGGGGCTGGGAATGTAGCTCAGTTGGTAAAGTGCTTGCCTTGCCAAGGCCCTGGATTCAATACCCAGCACAAAAACAAAACAAAACAAACAAAAAAACCACAACAACTAAAAAAATATTTTTTAAAAAAAGGACTGGGATGTAGTTCGGTGTTAGAGCACCCCAGGGTTCAATCCCCAGATGTTGACAGTGGTGAGGACGAGTCCCTGCTCTGGAGCACTCAGGCCCACACAAGAGACAACACATCACAGCTGTGAACCGAGGTGGGTCCTCCTCCATTCCTTAGGGGATCCTGGCTATGGGAGCACACTAGCGATCATCCACAAGGACACAGCCTCCCGTCTGGAACTGTCACAGAAACGGTAGTGACTGGACACTTGTGACAACTCTGAAAAGACTCACTTTTTTTCTCTCAGGTGTCGAAGGCGATGAAACACATTGATGACGTCCCTAATTCGTCTCGGAGCCTCTTCTATTTTGGAAGCCAGGTGCACACAGGCCATAGACACATGCTGAAAGGAAGCATGGAGACGCGGCGGTCTGTTCCCATCCTGAGGTCCGCCCAAGGCCGAGGGGCTACTAGGAGAAGGTAGACACAGAGGCCGCGGCCTCGGGGAGGGCCGCACCGGGGCTCCCCGGGCCCAGGACGAGCCCAGGACGAGCCCACCCGGCAGGCGGCGCAGGCCGGAGGGGGGCCTACCTCCATGGAATGCTTCACGAAGGACTTGGTGTAAAAGAACCGCTGGAACAGCACCTGTCCCGTCGCCATGGCCACCTAGACGGGGAAGCTTCCGTCACTTTTGGACGCAGACGCCAGAGCTCCGCACTGAAAGTCACCCCGTCACGTGGGACTCCCTCAGGGCCAGAAACTCAGCCCTCCTCCACGACCCCACGGCTCCCGGCGGCCCGCGGTCTCAGCGCCCCGACCCCCGGGAGGTTCGCGGCCGGCTGGGGGCGGGGCCGGGGGTCGGGGGCGCGGCGCCGGGGTCGGGCCCGGTTCCGGGCGGGGTGGGGGGTCCGGGACCGACGCAGCGCGGGCCGGTCGGCCAACAAAGGCCCGGCCCCTCCGGGCCGGCGGTTACCGCGAGCCTCGCGGCCGCGCCCTCACCTGCGGCAGGCGGAGCAGGATGCCGGCCGCCTGGATGAGCTCGCAGCCCACCACGCGGAGACCGGTCTCCGTGTCGGTGTCGAGGCCGCTCGACATGGACGGCGTGAAGCGGAGCTTGTCGTCTGGCAGCAGGCAGTTCTCCAAGGTGATGAGCACACCAGAGTACAGCCTGTCCCCGATCAGCACCCCTTGCGACCCGGACGCGGCGCCCCCCGAGCTCGGGGTGCCGGCCGCCGTCCCAGGGACCGCCGACCCCGGAGCTCCGGCCGCCGCCGCCGCCGCCGCCATTTTGTGCCGCCGACTCCTTTCGGGACCCTTCCCGGCAGGGCGGCTCCTCACGACACTCAGGCCGCCCCGCCCAACCCCATGCTATTGGCTGTGATCGGTCSCTGCCTCATGGGTATTGGTTGCGTGAATTGCCCGTCAGCCTTACGTCAGGCTTCGACGCCGGAACTCGCGCGGGAGAAGCGGGCTCGTTACCCAGAACTCTCCACTCGACCCGGAAGCGAGTCTGCCTTGAGAGGCCAGACGCTCCTAGAGGCTTGGGTCAAGGGGCTTGCATCTCAGAAGCCTGTGGCGTCCAGGAGGCGGGTCTCGGTGGAAGCTGGGAAGGGACGACCCTTCCCCTGCAGTCCCCGGAACACGACGCTGTGCATGGAGCCGGTGCGAGTTAACACGGGGCGATTGCCTGGTAGTTAGTGCTCCACCCTGCTGGCTTCGAGTTGCGGATGCACCTGTGGGTCCTGGACCTCACGGGTTCGTGTTTCAAACCTCAGCCCACGAGGAGGTGGACGGGTAACAGGGAACCGAACTTGTCGGATTTGATGACCCTACAGAACGCTTGGCGGCAGGTGCAAGCACAGGGTAGCGGGGAAGCGAGGCGCGAGGTTCCAGCACTGGGTGGGAAGGGACTTGCTTATTTGACCCTACAGAATTCATGAAGCATTTGTCTTGACTCTTGATTCCCCAGGCCTTCGTGGGTCTGCTCAGCGCCGCTGTGGAGGAGCATTATGTGTGTTAATTCCTGTTGTTACCCCGAGTTTTTCACCAGGTTTAGGGTTAGGAGACCGGTGGGGAAGCCCAGAGATGCTGGTTTAGACGTTGGGGGTAGATCGGAGGGTAAAATGTTCCTGGATGGGGTCAATTTAGACACTTGAGCTGACTGTGACTGCCTAACTGAAACCGAGGCTCCCAATGGCTCTCGCCCAAATCCAAACGTGGGCGGACTTCTTATCTCAGTTCAAGCAGTGGCAACTGTGACCCAATTTCTCCTCTGCACTCGGACTGCTTTGGGCAACACGGTTGCATTCCACCCACCACCTCTACTCCCAAGGTTGGCAGCGCCAGGGTGTCTCCCCTGTTGTCTGCAGTTGCACGCAACCCCAGGAAAAGAGCAGACCTTGATTTCCTTTGGTCCTCTTGGGCCGCTTGCCTATCCTCTTGAACCATGAATCCAGCCACTCAGATCAGGCCCTGGCACCCAAACTTGCACCAGAATGAAAGGAAACTGGAGCAGGGCCACAGTGGTCTGCCACATTCCCATCTTCCTTTATTAGTGTGAAGTGCATAAAAGCAGCTCAAATACAGTACCATACTGACAAGTGAAATGCATTCAACACTTGTGCACATGACCAGATTTTGGGAAAGATGGAAGTTGGCCCTTGTCCTCCAAATACCCATGGTAGTGTCCACCCTTAAGCTGGGGACAAAGTCCAGGAGGAAGGGCCTCATCGGGGGGTTCAAGCTGTAATGTGGGCCATAAATGATTTTGGCCTACAGTGAAAGTGGACGAGAGTGGACAAAGATATCTAGGAGGTAAATGGCCAGGGCTTGACTGGCTCCATGTGGGGCCGGAGTAGGTACTGAGTACAAGGAAGAATATGGAATGACTCCCAGGCAATGGTGACATGAGATGAAGGATGGTGTCACCAAAGGGCAGTGTGGCTGCAATTGGAAGGGAAGAAAGGTGTGCTTTGGGAGCAGGGATAGCCCTCCAAGGTCAGCAGTACAAGCAGGCCTGGGCCACAGGTATACACTGCCTGTATAAATGTGGGAGTCCCCAGCAAGAAGGCAGTAATTGGTAAAGAGCTTCAAGGGTTTTCCTGGTGCAGAAGGAAAGGGAAGTGAGATGGGGTGAAATTCTTGGGGGTCACGGTACCTATTGGAATTTTGGTTCTAGAAAACAGCTTTGCTGAGAGCTCTTGAGTTATAATGGGAAGGAAGCAGTTAGAGACCAGAGTGGAGACAGCAGACTAGAGCTAGAGAGGGGGTGTGCAGATGAGTTGCTCAAAACCCAGATGACAAAGGCTTTGGGTCACTGAGGACAAAGGGTTGGGCTGGTCCTGGGCAGCTTAAATACACATCTTTCACTACTAGAAGGAATGGACAGGTCTATGGTGTGGAGCTGCTGTGAAGTGGCTCCTACTAGTGAGTTTGTCAGGAACATAATACCTGGACTTATGGGAGCAGTGTGTGTGTTGTTAAAAGCCCTCCAAGGCCATAAGAGTTCAGAAGTTCCCCCTTTGAGCCAGGAGTGCTACCTGCTTGCTATGTAGATGTCCCTCCCATCTCTACTGGTTTGGGGGAGCATGGAAGGAGATGGGAGGGGAAAAGGTTGGTGTTTGGAGTGTCTGAAGAAATGAGCCACAGGATTCCTGCTATACATAAGGAAGAGACCAGTGGAGGATGGAGACTGAGGTGAAACCTGGCCAAGATGAGTAGGGACTGGAGAAACTTGGAGTAGATCAGGTAACTGTGGGGTCAAAGTTCAGAGGCCTGGTACAGATCCCTAATTTGCAGAAGGAAGCAGCATGGTCAGTGGCATCCTACCACTCRGGACTCCTGCTCAGCAGTCTTTCCCACTGTCCATGTGGTCACTGATGACATGTACACAGGCACCTCAGAGCACACATCAAAGTGTTTGCTGGGTAACAAAATATAACAAAATCAAAGACTACAAAAGCTTTATGCAYATGATCTGCATAAGACATAAGACATTCTGTGACTGTCCCACCCAGAGAAGGCAAGACCTATTATTGAAATGGCAATGAACACAAAGACAAGTCAAACTCAGACTTCACTCAGTTATCACATAACTCCTGGAGCTCCTATCTTAGCTATGATCCTCCAAGGAAAAAGCCTTGTCCAGATCCACTGTGCTGCTGTCCTCAGTGGTAGTGCACCACTCTGGAAAATATGCCCTCAGGCTCCTTTCCATCCCCCAAGGCAGCAGCAAACCCTTCCTGTCGCCTCCTTTGGGCCAAAGCAGCCAAAGATTTGAAAGTCTTCGGTTCATAGATGGCCAGGTCTGCAAGTACCTTCCTGTTGAGCTCCACCTGGCACTGGGAAGAGAGAGAGCAGAAGCCTGCAGTCAGCATCACTACTCCAGTGGCCTGCAGGAACACCCCACTTCAGTCAGGCTGGAAAGACACAGCTCAGAGACCTAATGTCTGAGCCACCCTCCTCCTGTCAGCACACCTGATTTTTCTCCTTTCCTGGCCCAGGGCACAGTCTGCCTGGCAGAAGGTCTGTCTGCACAGCACAGAAAGGTGCTATGGGATAAATGTGATCAAGGACAGGGAGGGCTCCAGTGCCAGCCCAGGGAACCAAGGACCATGTTTAGATTCACTAGTCATCACTTGAACAACTAGGTCTCCTGGTCAAGGCCAACCCGTAAATTAGCCCATGAAGTCAACCTAGCCAAGGTACAGCTTGTGATAGCGCACCAAAGTTCAAGTTCCTGGGCTTGATTCTCAGTACCCCAAAAAGAAGAAGAAAAAGAACTGGAAGTGATCTCAGAAACCACCAGTGAGTCCAAGAAGCAGAAGAAAAAGGAACAGCCATCAGGTGCAGTGGCCATTCCTGTAATCTTAGCTACTCTAGAGGCTTAAGACAGTAGGATGGCAAATTCTAGGCCAGCCTCAGCAACTTAGTGAGAGACCCTATGCTCCCCAGAAAAAAAAAAAAAAAACCCACCTGGAAATGTAGCTCAGTGGTAAAGTGCCCTGGATTCAATTCCGAGTACCAAAAAAAATTAAATGAAAAAAATAAAAGGATGAGTCTTATACTCTTTCATAATGCGGAAACACTAGGGCTCGCATTTCAGTACCATGTCCTGTTTCCAACATGGTCTGCTACCAGCAGGGTGAGGGAGAAGCAACTGTGATAAGCCCTTGCCAGAGTTCCACCTCAAGAACAGAAAGCAGAATAGAAGGTACAGGGCTATGCTGGGGAGACAACTGTCAGGGGAGCTCAAGCCTGAGGGAGGGTTCCTACAGATGCTCAGCACCTCAGCAGGACCCTCTAAACTGTACCTTAATTAAGTTGACAATGAATGCCGGGTACTTCAGACCGTGTTCCTGGGAGGCAGCTGTAATTCGATTAATCCAGAGCTGGAATAAGAAAACATAGAGATGCTTAACATCAACTGTTGAATGTTTTGTCCATTCTTCTAACAAAGGCTCTACTGCACTAAAAAGAACTTGTAAAAGTCAGGAGAATAGTGGTTTTTTTTTTTCCTCCAGCAAACAGACTTGCAGCACAAATAACAGCAAAGACTGATTTGCTTCATCCAAACAAGTTCAATTCTAAATAAAAAACTGTAATACATGCACCACGAATACAAAGATAAACAATTCTGCAGCAGTGTGGCTAAATTCCTACAGCCAGTGAGTGAGTGCCCACAAAGGCAGTTGTGAAACTCAAGAAGCTCCAGGGAGGCAAACAGACTCAGAGAGCAGAGCAAACAGTCTGAAGGTCCTCAGAGAATCTGGATGGCAAGGAGTAGTGGGTCTGTATCAGACTAAGAAGTGAGCATGGAAAAAACCTAAAAGATGAGCGACACTGACCACTGGACAGGACCTAGTGCAATGGGCAGTTTCTGGTGAATGGTGTGTGCCTCTGTTCTGATCCATTAAACAAGGTGGGTGTTGTGAGGGGTGTCTCTTCTTAAAGGCGTTCTTAGATGTCTTAAAGCAGTCTTCAAGCCCATTTTTGCTCTTCTAGCTCGGTGGTTCTCAAGTTTAGACCTACATAAGGCTCCCTAGAGATTTAAAACAGACCACACACTGGAGGTGGGTGTGGTGGCTCACACCTGAAATCCCAAGGATTTAGGAGGATGAAGCAAGAGGATTCACAAGTTCAAGGTTAGCCTCAGCAACTCAGCAAGAACCCTGTAATGTGGCGCATGCCTGTAATCCCAGCAGCTCAGGAGGTTGAGGCAGGAGGATTGAAAGTTGAAAGCCAGCCTCAGCAAAAGCAAGGCACTAAGCAACTTGGTGAGACCCTGTTTCTAA